AGGACACATGATGCCTCATCAGGCTTTGATAATATGTCAATTCCTTTCAAGGGTCCCCCGGTTACACCAGTGTGGCGCCCACGTGTAGTTCAGTCTGTGAGACTGGATGTAGAGAAACCTGTCTGACTCACTTTAAGGACGGGGGGGGGGCTCCTTCTTTTGTTTCCTTTCTTGCGTTTAGGAAAAGAGCAAAATGATCTCTCCCCTTCTCTTTATCTTTCTCCCTCCTTCCCCTCCACACAAATAACCCCCCCCTTTCTGTCCCATCACCTAGCAACTTTGTATGTGTGTTGCAGGGTGAATGATGTGATGTGTGTGTCTGCCTCTTTCCCCCCCTTAACCCACTTTCTCATGACATGATTGCAACGGCCTCTATTCATATCCTGGCGTTTCTAAACCCAGTCACGAGTCGGGTCTTTCCCCTGCTGAGGGGTTCGGTCTCTCTCTCTCTCTCTCTCTCTCTTTTTATTGTGTTATCTCTCCAAAGTCACAAGTTTTTAAGAAAAATTCTTTCTTTGTCTCGCTGCTGTCTGCCCACCAAGTCACAAAGCTTTCTTGAATTCAGCCCATATAACCGTTAGAGCGGATGTCTTGCTTTTATTGTTTGTCTGGATTTTGTGATAAGGCCCCAAAAGTTTGAGGAAGTATACACACACACACACACGCACGCGCGCGCGAAGAAAGCGACAACTGATTTAATGGCAGTTTCACTTCTTACACTTTTCCACCGGCACTCCTTTTCCTCTTTGCCTTGCAGAAGGGCAAACGGCATTCTGCTGTACTTGACACACACAAAACCCACATCCTGACTTTTAGGTACCGAAACACAAAGGCAGCTAATGAGAGCCAAACACCCACACGGCGGAACAATGTGAGAACGATGTTATCGCCCCGTACCCCCTCCTCTCTTCCTCGCCTTTCTGCTCTCACTTAGGAAGCGTGTGCAAGAAAAGTGCGTATGACTATCCCACCTCCCTTTGTGTGTGTGCATTCACATCTGTGTGTGTGTGTGTGTGTGTGTGTGTGTGTGTGTGCAGGTGAGAGGGATGAGGTAATTAAGCAGTGAAAGAGGAGGCATTTTAGCTGCAGCTCCTGGTGACAGGCCTCCAGGGAGGAGGAGGACGAGGAGGAGGAGGTGGTGGTGGTGTTGGAGGAAGAGGGAGGGAGGGGTGACGTCATGGGATGTAAAAAAAATGCTTCGGCGGGCTGCTGCAGTTCGTCTTTGTCATCTTTTTATCTCAGAAAGAAGCAGCAGAGGGAGGACGCGCAGCGCTGCCCCACTGTGTCGTCTGAAGTTTGTGTGCAGCGGGGTTGGGTGGAAATATCTGCCAGCTCTGGCTCCTTAAATCCATCTCACTGCTCAAGGAGCTCTTTGATAAGTTGGTGACAGAATAAGAACAGAAACATCCCCTGCGGTTGCTACATAACTGCCGCCATCTGAAGGTGACAGTCGCCTCTGCCTCTGTCGTGTTCTCAGTCTTTCTTCCTCACGGGCTGCAGTCATTTGTTTTCTCTGAGCAGAGCAGAGTCAGCCCGTTTGACATTGAGCCTCAGCGGTGTCGGCTGCCTTCGTCATGGTCGGTTAATCCTGTGCTGGTGTCTGCCGAGTCCGCCGCTGACTGCAGCTTTCGATTACAGCATCACACGCCACCTGACCACTGCGGCCCTCGCGTGCGTTGTCTGCCCGTGTGTTTTGATCTGTAAAGAAGGAAGCGAATAGCAGAGGGCAAAAGAAAGTGATTGCTCTTATTGAACGATTGCAGGGGAAGAGATGTAACGAGGCCCATAATTCACTCTGTGTCCTTCACCTTATTTGCCCACACCATAACAACAGGACTCTGCAGTGATTGGCTCGCTTCCTGGGGGCTTGTCTCTGCGCTAGCCCCTCCCACCCGGTACTGCTGCGTCATTTGTGTGAATGAAGAGTCACGGCTGTTGTATACGTGCGCGGAACGGTGTACATCCCGTGCCGCATGTTCATTCGCTCGCTGAGCCCCTCCTCGGTGTTGACTTAAGAGCTGACAGTCAGCCGTCTGCTGTGTTTAACGTGGTCACGCATCGCTCCGTGTGCAAAATGCATGTAGAGGCTGTCAACTCGCTGCACTGATTAACTTTCCAGAGAGGTTTGACAGGATTTGGCTCCGACTCGGATTTAGCAAACGGAGCGTGTTTGGTCTGTGTGAGCGATGGGTGGAGATAGGATGTTTAGCCCTTGTTTAGGATGTATACAGATCGCTGAGATTTCTGCCTCCCAGGGATTGTTCTCTCCCTCTCTCTCCCTCTCTCCCTCTCCCTCTCTCCCTCTCCCTCCCTCCCTCAGAAGTTATTGGTCTGAACCGTTTGTGTGTGTGTGTCCCAGTGGGAGTTCTGGTTAATAGGCTCTCAGTACCGCAAGAGGAGCTTTCCTCAGGGGGCAAATCTGCCTTAAGGCACTAGCTGAACCCTCCCCTCAATGAACACACACAAACAGCTACTGAGCAAAAACACCTCATATATCTGTTTGTGCAAATAGGTGTTTACATCACATATAAATAGGTGTTTACGTGTTTACACATCAGCTACTTTATGGATTTTGTTGGACATGTTCAGAGCTTTACTAGGAAATACAAAGCTGAAACAGATGATAAATATATGTGTGTTCAGAGTGATTTAGGGTTTTGTGTGTGTGTGTGTGTGTGTTTTCCACAGGGTAACTGTCCCAAAGTGAGCTCCATCAACGATCGCAGTGATTGGAAAGTGGTGAGGAAAGCCTTGTCTGTGATTGGCTTCAACGAGGACGAGGTGGAGGTAAGGAGTCCAAGCTGTGTAAATCATGCCTGACATGTTTGTTTTGTCACCCAGAGTAGTGTGTGAGGTGTAAACTCAAGAAAATGTTTTTCTCTGAAGTAGACGGAGAAAGTGGAAGCTCTGACCACTTCCCTCTGCACAAAGCAGGATGAAGACGTGCATTTTCACTTATTACTACTAAATTCTTGAAACAAAAAGTTGAGATGTACCCAAGACAAACTTTACAAAGATTACAACCCAGACTGTCTGTTAAAGGCTGTTGACAGTCTTTAGCACGAGTTTCACTATGAACAGTAAAGTACTCCAAGTGCCTGAGGGGGCTGAGGCTGTTTCTGTTTTAGTCTTGTACTGTGGATGTTTGTATTTGAAAGTGTTTCTTAGACAGAGTAAGTGTGCGTGCTGTTATTATATGGTGAGAACTTATTTGTGCTCAGCGTGGGAGTCTTCCTACATGTTCCTGAGCCTGGGCCTACTGCCAGAGCTTTTTAGATCTCACACTGCTTATAGAGTGAAGAGCAGGTGTGAGTGTGTGTGTGTGTGCAGCTCTGGTTTGATACTTGGTGAGCACATTGCTACATTCCTATCCTGTTGAATCCGTAACCTAATTTGAATCAAAGCTTCCCTTATCTGTCAAATCTCTCATAAAGATAGCCTTGGCAGTAACTTCAGATTTGTATAATCTAATCAAGCCGCAGCCTCTCATCTCTTTACCTTTGACCCCTCCCTCCCCATGAATGTCCTCCTGTGTCACCACTCTGCACTTTCTTTGTAACTATTTATCTTATATTTTTCTTCACATATTGTCCTTATGTTTCCTTCCCCTCCCTCTCTGTGTTATCTCTCTGTAGGAGTTGTTGAACATAATCGCCAGTGTGCTCCACCTGGGGAATGTGCAGTACGGCGGGGAAGAAGGCAACGCCTGCATCACTTCTGACACACAGATAAAGTACCTGGCCAGGGTAAGATGCTGCACCAAGCAGGTTCATAAAGACTCCTAACAGGCCAGGGGGAGATGGGATTTAAGAGAGAGGGCCTAGGCTCGTATTTATCAAGCATCACAGAATTCCTCTCAGGAGTCGCCCTGAAAGTAAAGTTATCTATGAAGCTCAGCCTGAACACCACCACCTAGTAACTCCTAACAGGTCAGGACACCTCTGGAGGTGTACTGAATATTGGCCGAGATTGCTTTTACTCCTAATCCTAAAAATGGGACCATAAACGTATAACTTTGAGAATGTTTGGGACTGATTTATTACTCTGAGAAGCTTGGTAAATATGGACTTAAGTTTGAAATTCATAGAGCTATGAGTAAGCCTCGTCCACACACTTTCTTCTAATTTACATATCTATATGTCTTACAAATGCTGATGAAGACCAACCACTTAAATGTGCGCTGCTTGAGAAATGTGAATCATACTTTGGACACAACGTTTTTCTTAGAAACATCCCCCATTCCTTCCTGCCTCAATTTTCCAATTATACTTCATCAGACAGACATAATGAACAGATACCATACGCAGGATGTCACGGCTGCTAAGTGGCATGACGTCTGTCTGTTTTGGAGATCGGTTATTTGTCATTGGCGAGGCGTGCTAATGTTGTTGTGCTTTTCCAGTTGTTAGGAGTGAATGGTGCAGTGCTGACAGAGGCACTCACACACAAGAAGATAATTGCCAAGGGAGAGGAGGTAGGTTTGGATACACACTCTCATTGTAGTATGCGTATGTGATAAGCATTTGTATACAAAGCTTTCCTGTCTGTGTAATGTCTGGTCTGGTCCACTGTAATTATATTGTAACATGTCGAACTTGATCTGCTGATCTTGTGTACTCTGTTATTGTCTGCCTTTTGCCTGCCTGTGTGTGGTGTGTTGTGTGTGTGTGTGTGTGTGTGTGTGTGTGTGTGTGCTGTGTGTGTTGTGTGTTTCTTAATTAGTTGATGAGCCCACTGAACCTAGAACAAGCAATCATCAGCTTCGGGAGCTTTGTCCAAGGCAGTGTATGGACGCACCTTCACCTGGCTGGTAACCACAAGATCAAGCTTTCACTGGCTATATACGTACACACACACACACACACACACTTACTCAGTACAGTGACACTTGGTATGACTGCACAGTTAAATCTTTGATACATTTTCACTTAAATTTTCTTGATTGTATTTCTCAAACTAAGTCCAGACATTATCCAACACTGTAGTGGAGAGCACTGGTGTCTCCCCTTTAATCTATTATAGCACAGCTCCACCTTGTGGACATTTACAGGTTCACAAGATGAACATAATAACATAATGCAGAAAACCTGGAGTGAAAATCCATTTTCATGATTTTGAATTTAAATCTTTATTTTAAAGCTTTGTGTGTACTAGAGTTTGCTCTGTTTTAGATAGATATGATGAAGACGAGTTTTGTTCTTTTTCCCTAACAGGATGACTCCTTCAAGAATTACTCAGTGATTGGCCTGCTGGACATCTATGGTTTTGAGGTCTTTCAGCACAACAGGTACAGTATTAATTATGTTCATTCTGAATTAAAGGCTTAACTCTTTAAATGTGAACATCTATATATCCTTCTAAACCTTAAAGTAATGCAGCAAAAAAACACTTACACCTACAGTTTGATTTTTAAAGTCAATTTCCTGGAGCTTTCAGTTGCATCTCATGGCCTTCAGTGGCAGCAGGAGTTTGCTCAGTTGGTAACTGAGCAACCTGAGCAGACTTCATATGCTGAAATGCAGCTGAAAGCTCCAGAAATTCCCAGTAAGTGGACCCTGTGCCTTTTTCTATGGTCAATAATGAGCCCCAACCCTAACCTCCATTAGTAAGAAAACCAGTAACATGTGTCTGACCCTGTGCCTTGTTGTGTTTCTTGCTGTGTGTTGCAGCTTTGAGCAGTTCTGTATCAATTACTGTAACGAGAAGCTGCAGCAGCTCTTCATCGAGCTCACCCTCAAGTCAGAGCAGGAGGAGTACGAGGCTGAAGGCATCACGGTCAGACGTCATTTTCTTCTCTCCCTTAGTTTGTCCCAGACGTTAACGCACCTTTGTTCCATTTCAATTGGATTCTGTATATGTATTTAAGTGGAAAGCCTTTGTTTTTATTTTACTCTCTTCCTCCGGTCCTATCAGTGTCTGTACACTTTAATCATGCTTTGACATTTTCACCCTCCATTATCACTCCATCCCTCCTCCCTCAGCCAGGCTTTAGCCTTCACAAAGAGCTCCTAATGTGATTGCTGTTGCAGTTGTGTTTTTTGATGTGAAATTGGTAATTTAATTTATCACTCTGCCGTTTCACTGAGACTTTCACTCAAAGTGATTTACACTAAGTGCACATATTTTTAGAAGATGCTGCTCCATTAGAAATTAATCTTTTAACCCTGTTATTGTTAGAGTTATTGTGTCTTTTATTTATTCACAGTTAAAATCTAAAATAGCTCTTAAGGAAACAACATGTCAAAAGAGGTCTGCATTGACCGAGGATATCTAATTCAAGTTCTTCCTTTGTCTCTGCCCCATTTATATTCATTGCATTTATATTGTTTTGTTTTGCTTCTTTGGAACAAAGGCCTCTTGTGTTCAGTCTAATATAAATGCACTGGTCAGAGAGCAGGTTGTGGGAGAAACTTGGACTCACCTCTCAAAGAGCCCATTATCATCTGACATCAGGGCTGTGGGCCGCACTCTCTGTCATCTCTGTGGAAATTATGTGGCTGTTAGCGCTAACATAACCTAACACTGCTGCACTCAGCCCATGGAGCTCTGTGTTCATGTGTGTGTCCACATGCGAGTGGGTGAGCAGCGTCTCTGTGTGCCAGGATTCCTGGGATTCTGCAGATGACTGACTTTACAGTCATTTAATAGCTTAGAACAGTTGTAATTGTATCAAGCTTAGACTAATATGCTGGACAAGATTTATTTTCTCATGAGCGCTAATTTAAGGGGTCTTGTGTCTCTGCAGTGGGAGCCGGTGCAGTACTTCAACAACAAGATCATCTGTGACCTGGTGGAGGAGAAATTCAAAGGCATCATCTCCATTTTGGTGAGGAGACACACTCTGCTCTGATTCTGCTTCAGAGGATATAAAACCAAGATTTTATTTCACAAGGAAGCTACCTCATTAAATTCACTCTCGAAGTGGATTTCTGCCAAATATAATACCTGCCCTATCTGCCAAAATATGATATACCCAAAGAACTTAAAGAACTTATAGCAAGATAAGGTGTCATCTTAAAGGGAAAGTTAAACATTTTAGGAAACTCTGTCGTCAACGTGACTCCAGGAAATCACTGCTCTCTTGGCCAGAAATTAGTCTAGCACATAATTCCTGTAAAATCACAAATTGTCGTTTTCACGCTTTGGTTTTTAGACAGATTAAACAACCAAGAAACAGCATTTTAGGTGCATTAGAGGTACTCAACTATCAGCTCAACTACCTGTATCCTAAATGGTATCATCTGTGTAACAAAGGATGAATTCATTGGTTTGATCCTAACAGATACACATGCAATATGTGGTCATAGTCTTGTAAGACAATGGCTTATTGCTGCTCTTTTTGTCCTCCTATCACAGGATGAGGAGTGCCTGAGACCTGGAGACGCCAGTGATTTAACCTTCCTAGAGAAGCTGGAGGACACTGTTGGAGGACACGCACACTTTGTCACGTTAGTTTGATTCCTGGTCTTGTATAACCTCTGCAGTGCCACAAATGTACCCAAAACAGTTTGGACTTGCTGTACTTAAAGGTCTGGCTGTTGACTGGATTGTGGTGCCAGACTGTGAACTATTGAATATGTGTCCAGTCCATTTACTGATATATCCATGCTGTGTGTGTGTGTTTCCCTGCAGTCACAAGCTGGCTGATGCAAAGACCCGGAAGGTAATGAGCCGTGACGAATTCAGACTGCTGCACTACGCTGGAGAGGTCAACTACAATGTCAACGGTGTGTGTGTGTGTGTGTGTGTGTGTGTGTGTGAGACAGCTGCTGTAAACAAGGCCAGTGTGACCTCAAGTCCTTGGATATTTGGTGCTGGGGTGAATTCCAGTACTAAATACCAGTACCCTTAGTTAAGTATAACACATGTTAAAACCAAAACAACCAGATGTTATATCTCTGTCTCAATGTGAAGGGAGTTACAGTAAGTTATCAAGTGAATATCAGCATTCAAACAATGACCAGCACAAACACATAAAGGCTGGCTGCTAATAAAGACCTGGTGAGAGTTACCTCACATGATGTGGTTACGGGCTCTGTTAAAATCAAAAAGCCCATCCACTGTGTAGCATTTCCTCCAGTCCTGCACCGTTAGCAGCTCTGTTCTGCTCTGTTGGATTTGGGGACGTTTGCACTCAAACAACCACAGCCAAAACGGTCATCTGCAAGAGCATTCCTGTCCTAAAGTCCTCGTCCTAAAAGCCTTTTTTCTTGTAAAGTTAAAAATGAGAAGGCACTATTTAAAATATGGACATAATTTGTAAATCTAATCTCTGTCTTGTTTCCCTGAGTATGTAGGCTAAGCAGCTAGACGGGGTTATGTTAGAGAGAATGGAATAAAGGTTTGAGCTTACATTTTACGTTATCATACTGATAATGTTGGAACTAACTAGCTACTGTAATACAAGACACTTTTTCTTTATTTCCATCCATCTGGTGAGGAGTCTTTACATAGTCGCCTGTATGTAACCATCAAGTTCACAGTTAAGACCCCTTTACAAGGTTTTAGTTTTAGTCAACTGGACACATTAAAAAGTCCACCTGAGTCAGCGTTTTCAACCAACTCATCAAGCTAATGCTAGCTTAATTAGCTATCCAGATACAGCTGATGAAGTCTGGTAGCAAAATCAAAGATACATTACTGAATTAATCCAAAATTAGTAAAGAACTTTGAGTGGTAAATCTGCCACTGTTATTATGGTGAACCTAATATGCCGAACAAGAACAGAAAGCTTGAACAGTAACTGAGGAGTGAGGAACTTGCAAACGGTCACTCCAATGGCTTTTACTGATTTGTTTAAGCGCTCTTGAGCTGCGGTAAATAGAACTCAACATTTCCTGCGGATGCCTCAAATTAAAACCCTCGCAGGAAGTGCTGAGTTTCACAGACAGTAGCTTAACAATGTTTGAAAATCAGCAAAATTGAAGCCATATGAAAATATTAAGTCAATAGAAACAACATTTCTGTTCGAGAAGAGAGACTCAGAGTGGTGAGTGTGACGTGACTGTGGTTGCACTGATGAAATTAGGGCTATGGGAGTGCACATTATACAGAATATATCAAGACCACAGGGATACATGGAGGAAGTGTTGAGTTTGCACTAACAGCTAATTAAAAGGAGAGCACATGAGAAAAGAGGCAGGCGTTTTACCAAAATATGATGAAATACTAAGAAATAAATATCTGTTTTTAATATAAGCCTGTTTCAGATAAAGGTTTAAGGGAACTATCTGTGAATTTATAGTAGTTCTGTATTAAATAAAGGCTATTTGACAATATTCATTAATATATTCAACAATAGGATCAGACTTTACTGGATGTAACCAGTGACAACTGTGGGGCACTTTAGTGGAAGTGATTAGTCAGTACATGTATCATCTTCTCTCACTCAGGATTTTTGGACAAGAACAACGACCTGCTCTTCAGGAACTTGAAAGAGGTGAGTTTTAAAGTAACAGGAATTAGGAGGATTATAAAACAAACTTTTTCACTTGGATAGTGTGATACATTTAAGGGAAAATTGCACAGTGTTTGCCCAATTCAGAGGTTAAAAATGTCCTTTATGTATGTTTGCAGGTCATGTGTATGTCAGAGAACAAGATCCTCACCCAGTGTTTTGACAGGGAGGAGCTGAGTGACAAGAAGCGCCCAGACACGGTGAGATACCTTGTTGTGCGTGTGTGTATGTCCTCTTTGTGTCCCGGGGTTTTCTCTGCCTTTCCTACACACTCTTATAAATCATACTATCATATATATGCATCCCAACATACTTTCCCATAGCAAAACAAACAGGGGTGTGTTTCCCCTCTCCAGTGTTGAGTGGGCAGTCTGATGGGGATTCTCTGCAGCCTCCCACTCAATGAGGAATGCCCTGACACTTGTATGCCCTTCACACACACACACACACACACACACACACACACATATACACACACTTGAACAGGGTACTGTCACAGGCTGGCAAGTTAGAGTCCCAGTCTTCCACACTGGGCCCAGTGTTCAGTCTCTACTGGACTGCCAGTCACCTTCGTCTCTTCATCCTTTCCTAACCAGCTTTCATCTCTCTGTGTCTGCCCCTCCAGGCAGCCACCCAGTTCAAAGCCAGTCTGGCGAAACTCATGGAGATCCTCATGTCGAAGGAGCCGTCGTACGTCCGCTGCATCAAGCCCAATGACTCCAAGCAAGCAGGTATGAAGCAGAGTCTTTGTTTTTTGCTTATTATGGTACAAGGTAGGAAGGTAGAAATGCTTAGAGTATCCTTTGAAACCTTGAGTCTGAACAGACAGAACCATCATAGTGAACTCCAAGTGACAGAATATAAATGGAAAATACATCAATTGAGAAACCAAAACCCTGGTCATCTTCAGACCATTTAATCATTGTGACAGCTAGTGTGTGCAAATAAAAAATGATTTTCAATACTTTTATTTTTTGCATCCTGGATAACTGGATGAGTTTGTCTACAGCACGCAGTACACTCTGAATCCAGTAGCATTTGCTATTCACCAGAACACAAGTGTTTATTTTCCCTTTTCCACAATGGAAGTAAAATGTATGAGCTGTGATCAGTAAAAATAAGTGATGGAGTAATGAGATGGAAAATGGATATTTCTGCCATTTTGTGCTTACCCATGGTTCAGCTTGTAAATGTTTTACTTTGAAAACCTGAATTTCTGTAGTTTGAATTCCCCTTTGTGAAATCTGCAGAAGTGTCTGACATTTAAAAAAACTATTTGCTTCATTTTCAAATGGTGACTTCGGGACTACCAAAGATACTTCTTCCTCTTGTATTTTACACACAGTAGACTTTTGGAAAGAAATCGGATTGATTCTATTCAGCTTAATTGACTGTCTTTCAGAGCTTGGATGCTCAAATTTGAACCAACCAATGCGAGTTGAATTTGAGCAGCTTAAATGTGAATGTGTTAGAAAAAGGCTATTCGATATTTACCATCTGAATTGGTGAACCTTCAAAATAACCCTTAAAGTCATATTTTTAAGATTTCCCAGCATGAAGTGACTCATTTGATCTGAGTGATTACGGATATTATTTGCTTTCATACACTAATAGTTCTTGTAAACACAGTTGAAGCAGCTTAGCAACAACATATTCCCAGAAACATCATGTTAATCTTGTGCTTTTGCTAATTCCCTCCAAAACAGTTCAGCTGTGTGAGTGGCCGCAGTGTAACTCTCCGTGTGGTCGTCAGTATATCGGGCCGGCCTTTGTTTCTGTCCACAGTGGTCCTTTTGTTAGTTCCACACTGTTTCTCTGTCCTCTGTCACTCCTACTACTGTTGTTTAGCATTTACTGGTTTTTTCTGGTTCATTTTGTCCAACAGACTTTACATTTTTCTCTGACTGATCTGACCCTGCTCTCTTGTCTCCCTCTCCCACTTCTTTCCACCTCTCCTCCTTTCCCAGTTCGATTTGACGAGGTGTTGATCCGTCACCAGGTCAAGTATCTGGGGCTGATGGAGAATCTGAGGGTGAGGAGGGCCGGCTTTGCTTACAGACGGCGCTACGAGGTCTTCCTTCAGAGGTGATCAGCTTTTTTCTTTTTTTACCAATAATGTACAATCACATGGAAGCTCTGTATCAAGAATATAATCAAGTACCGTATATGTACCATTCTTGTATTCTACTACATTACCAATATGACCTCTAAGTTTAGTCAAATTGTCCGGATTAGACATCCATAACCAAGCTGTACACAAAAAGACATTCCTTACCTAGAAGTAAATACCTGCTGTTGCACTGGTAGTGTTGTTCCCCCAGGTGCGACAGGTTTTGGTTTCCAGTCTTTATATAACAGGAAGGTTTCAGGTTTAGACCCAGGATGTGTCCCATCCTGTCAAAACATCTCCTCCTAGCACATTCATTGCTTTGAATATGTCAGCTCTGTTCCTAAACTCTAAATCTACATCATCAACGCTGCCTAAGGACTGAACCTTAGTCCGGCTGCAACAAACACTTATTTCATTATTGATCAGTCTGCAAGTTATTTTCTAAGTGAATCATTTGGTCTGTTAAATGTCAGAATTTCCTAAAGCCCAATATTACTTAACACATTTCTTTGTCTTGTGTGACCAGCAGATAAAGATATTCTGTTTACTGTCACATAAGACAAAGAAAAGGGCTGGAACTAGGGACCATTTGCCATTTTTGCTTTGGAAAAATGACATAAACCATTAATCAGTTATCAAGTTTTAGTTTTTGATGTCAATCGACTAATAGTTTCAGCTCTAAACCTGACATAGTTCTCTTCCCAGGACCATCTGCTACACTTTCACAGGCTGATCAGGCTATAGAAGTGGTGGGGGTTTAAACCCTCTTTTGCTTAAAGGATGTGCCTTATTCCTGAACCAGTATTCTAGGATTTACTTGTGTTTTTGTCTGTTTAGGTATAAGTCCCTGTGTCCAGACACATGGCCTAACTGGCAGGGGAAACTGTCTGATGGAGTGTCCACACTGGTCAAACACCTGGGATACAAGCCTGAGGAGTACAAACTGGGCAGGTCAGCAGCACACAGATCAATATAAATGTCAAAATGTATTTATATAATTTAGTAAAAGTTTAAGAAGTAATGTTAAACCTATTTTCTTTTAAACATGCATTTTTAAAAACTGATTTTACCCTTTGTTGCCTTGAGCTGCACTTAACCATCTGATTTCAAATGCACATGCTTTACTTTAATCTCAACCTTTTAGATCCAAAATCTTCATCCGTTTCCCAAAGACCTTGTTTGCCACCGAGGATGCACTAGAGACCAGGAAACACAGTCTTGGTTAGAGCCTCTGACACAACTCATTTGTGCCACATATTTTCATTATGGCCACAGATTTAAACCTTTAGTCTCCTTTCCCTTCTTTTTTCTTTTCACCCCGCAGCCACCAAGCTGCAGGCAGGATGGAAAGGCTACAGCCAGAGGTCCAAATACCAGAAACTCCGAACCGCAGGTGAGGAAACGTTTTCTCCTGCTGATGTCATCTTAGAGTTTGTCTAACAGATTGTCTAACAAACAATTTGTGCAACTTTGTATTTGTTTGTGATGTATGTGATGTACCTTACAGCTATTGCCATCCAGGCCTGGTGGAGAGGGGTCCTGGCCAGGAGGAGGGCCAAGCGCAGGCGACAGGCTGCTGATACGATCCGCAGGTACAGACCAATACAGCAACAGACCAGCACATGGCGCAATACACTCACTGTGTTAGAAATACAACTCTACTCAACTAAATGAGCATAATATGTCTAGGTTTTGTAAACCCTGTTAATTTTCCTTTATTCCTCTCATCCTCAGGTTCATCAAAGGCTTCATCTACCGCCACAAGGAGCGCTGTCCAGAGAACGAGTACTTCCTGGATTACGTGCGCTACTCCTTCCTTATGACGCTACGCAGGAACCTGCCCAAGAACGTCCTGGACAAGAGCTGGCCGACACCTCCAGCTGCTCTCACTGAGGTGGGAATAAAACACACATATATGTAGGTCAATATGGTAGAGACACCACATTGTTCTGTGAGGACAGCCAAAACATTTAACACCAAATTAGGATTTGAGGATGTGTTGTTGAAGCTTAAGACCTGTTCGGATAGTTATTGATCAAATATTTTTTTATTTTTTTTATTTTATAACTCCGTTTTGTAAACAGGGTAATAATAAAAATTCATCCATACATTCAACATAATATATATTCATGTGCACTATGTCCCATTAGTATCAGTTCATGTTAATGATTTTTATTGAGAGCTAGTAGACGATTAATGACAAATGTGATCCAACAGTATCATATCCATAATTTTAGATGTACACTTGTGGGTTTTCACATATTGTATATGGATGTAGTTCAAAGGTGAATGTTAGCCGACATGTTTCAATAGGTATATTCACTTACACTGTGACTACTCACACACTGTGTATCATGACTCCACATATATGCAGCACAACTGAATTGCTTTTTTCTGCCAGCAGAGCTATTGTGAAAACATTCTGTCTGTGTCTTTAGGCGTCAGAGCATTTGCGTAAGCTGTGCATGCAGAACATGGTGTGGAGCTACTGCAAGAAGATCAGTCCTGAGTGGAAACACCAGGTGAATATTGTCCCATCACCAGTCAGGATACGCTCTTTGTACTCTGGCTGTCAGGTTTCTTGTTTGCTGCTTCTTGCCTTTGCTTCGCTGTAATCAGATCTGTTTGAATAGATGGAGCAGAAGATGATCGCCAGTGAGATCTTCAAAGACAAGAAGGACAACTACCCACAGAGCGTGCCCAAACTGTTTGTCAGCACAAGACTCAGTAAGGCTCACACATTTTTCCTGCTACAACAGGCTCCATATTTCTCAATGTAAAAGATTCTAACAGCTTGTCTCCTCTTCTTCAGATGGGGAGGACATTAACCCCAAAGTGGTGCAGGCTCTAGGCAGCGAGAAGATGAAGGTTAGTCGAGCAAAGTCACAAAACAAAGGGCAGTTTAAATGCCATCTGTCATCAAGTGTTTTGACCGTCATCCCTCTGTTCCCAGTATGCAGTTCCAGTCACCAAGTACGACAGAAAAGGCTACAAGGCCCGGCCCCGCCAGCTGCTGCTCACCTCTAACAGTGCCGTTATCGTAGAGGAGGCCAAACTCAAGCAGCGCATCGAGTACGGAGCCCTGAAAGGTCAGAGGTCGACAGACCTTATAGAGACAGTAAACAGTTTCCTGATGAGTTAATGGTCTTCATCGCTAGTTTCAGTCCTCTTCCAAACGGCATGATGTTCATTTAGTAAATTATGGTCCAATTTAGAGTAAAACACAAGCTGTTTGTTGACAAGTCGCTACATCAGCAACCTGTCAATCAGGATAGAGCCATAGCAATCATTGTGTTTCCCAGCTCCACGCTCTTGTCCAAATATGGTCACTTCTGGCTCCATAAATACGCTGGTGACTGCCATAATGCCAAACCCAAGGCTTCAGAACAGTAACCCTTACCCACAAACCAATGGGTGACGTCATGGTGGCTCTATCCACTATTTATTTTACAGTCTATGGCGAGGACAGCGTTGGGTTCATTACTCATTAATACTGTCCTTCCTCTGCAGGTATCTCAGTCAGCTCTCTCAGCGACGGCCTGTTTGTTCTGCACGTGCCCAGTGAGGACAACAAACAGAAGGTGAATCCAAGGACATATTATAAGTTAATAATAATACAATTAATAATATATTAACCAGATCTCGTGTAGCTCTGTACGAGTGTAAATGAGTGTTGCTGTGAGTTTTCACCGCCTGATGGTTCGTCCACAGGGAGACGTGGTTCTGCAGAGCGACCATGTGATTGAGACCTTGACCAAGATTGCGATCTGTGCCGATAAAATAAACAGCATCAACATCAACCAGGGCAGGTGAGAAGCAGAAACATGAATGTACACTTGGCATGTTGATTACTACGGTGCCAATGTTCACAATGTGTCCTTACATAATTCTAACAGCAGTATAATACATCTCTACTCCTACACACACAAACATCTACAGGTAGAAAGTGGTAAAAAGCAGAAGGATGTGTCTGACTATCCCTGTGTTCCTCTTCCAGTATAAAGTTTACAGTGGGTCAGGGGAAAGAGGGGATCATAGACTTCACGCCTGGATCAGAACTACTGGTGGCCAAAGCTAAGAACGGACATTTGTCTGTGGTGAGTCTGCTAAATCTTCCTCAATTGAAAGCTGTATAAAAAGCTTTGTTTTTCTTGTGTTATTCCACCCTAACTGACAGAACAGCAGTTTATTTGTGTTATTTCCACCATGTTTACGCTGATCACTGTGAGATGTGCCTTTTAATGCCGACTTTCATCAAGTTATCACCCATAAATAAGGATTTTCAAAAGCAGCATCCAATAGTTGATATACTGTGATACTATTTAAAGCTGCACTAATAAATCATTTTTATATTAACAATGGACCAATTGATTATGTGAAATGGGAAAGGGGGCACTAATAGGGTCAAACCCACAAAGAATTATCACCATACTTTTCCCCCTCAGTTCTACGCAGCATTTTAGCCTCGTTTAGAGCATTGTTTGGTTTTATAACTCCGCTCTTATCGGCATCGTTTCCAGCTGCAGCAGGCAGCTGTTTTCAGACACATAGCTTTAATAAAGTCACTGTACGCTGCCTGCCCAGCATCAAACTACAGACAGACCCAGTGAGCGTTTAGAAGGTAAAGAGACAGACATTTTATGGTACTTTAATATTGTGATATCTTGTTGCAACAGCCCAAAGTGACTCAAAACTCAAAATTCTTTAACAATTGTGTTGACATAAATATTTCAAGAGCAATTTTACTCCAGTTAAGTTGAGTTTGGTGTGTTTGTCAGGTTTACCACGTTTTTTTAGAGTTTTCGATGACTGAAAATGCTTCTACACCACACTGGGAATATTTCTTGAGCCAGACTTCTGTTAAAAAACAATAAATGATCAACTATCAATCATTTATTACTATCAGAGATGTCTGGTTAATATTTAATTAAAACAAACAGACATTATTAATCAGTGTTGTGAATGGAGACATTGGATTCGCACATATGTTTAGTGCAGCTCTTGTCGCAGTGTGGTTACTTCCTGCTTCCTGACAGTCCACTCTGTTGACCTCTGACGTGATGTGATGTTTTTCTCCTCTGGATGTCTTCCAGACGGCTCCCAGGCTGAACTCCAGATGATGGCCCCTCTGAACGCACCAGGACAAGTACTCCTGACCTCTCCCATCCTCCAATCACGCAACCGCAGACCCCGCTCTGCCTAAGCCAATCAGACGCCAGCTGTCACCACAGGGTGGCATGTGCTTCCAATTGAAAAAAACAAAAAAAAACAAATAAAAATCCAGCAAAACTAATTGATATATTTATGTTTATATATTATATTTTTGGGATTAATACTGTTGCTGTTTGAATATTCTGATTTTATATATGAGGCCAAGGAATAACAAATATTTTGGTGCATTTTTCTTGCACCATGTGTGTTTATTGTGCTTTATTTGGGAACATGACCAAGAAAAACGATGAGGGAGAAAAGTCAGACTAAGAGACAACAATGAGAAGACAGGGATTGTTGTTGATGAAAATCAGGGTTTGTTGTTGCCTCTTTTCTTTCCTGTTTACCCTTTCTGCTTGATTTATAGGCTTGATTGTCTCGCTGACACTACTTGTCTAACTGGGGTGGTTAGCTGGTTATTGAAGCATGAAGGTGTGTAGAACAAGGCTGACAGTATGTAGGATAGCTGTTGAGAGGATCGGGGACGAGGAAGAGTAATTCTTCAGTCAAATGGAGATGCCCCGGCACGAAAAGGCCGGTAGTGTCAGACTGTGGTTCGCTAAATCAGAATAAATAGTTGAATGTACGGCTGTAATTGTGCAGTGTTAGAATAAGAAGGGAGCTTGTCAAGAGGGATTCACTACATAAAATAAACAGCATGCAGTGTGAATGCTGCAAAAAGGAACAAAGTATGTGAGGAGTGAGTGAGAAAAGGCAAGAGAGAGGTGAGAAGAAAGACGATAGAACGCAGCAGTCGTTTGCCTTGGCCCCAGGAGCTCGTGCCTTTCTCCTTGACTAATATGTTCATAGTTGAGCCGTGAAATGATGTTTGAAGACCATGACACTCAACACGAGAATGAGTCGAGTTACGTGTAGATAGAAACATCGTCCTCTGACTGAACATTGGTCCAGCTTCCTGTACAGAGACCCCTTGTTCAGAACCACATAGCATGCTCTGATTGGTCGAAGACCCCAGCGTCTCTCTCTGTAGTCAGCTACATTTCCTCCATTCTTCCACCTCTGACCTGCCTGTAGTCTCAGAACTGGAGCTTGTGTTTCGCTACAACTGAACTGGTCCGATGGCTACACCTGACTGGGTTTGACACGTATGTTTCAAACCTCTATAATCATTTTTTTATGTCCCTTAAGTCTCTCACTTTTTACAGTTCTATGTCCCTCAAAGAGACTAAAACTAAAACAATTTACATACATTGAAGCTACTAATAGCTGTGTATTGTCCAGATGTTTGACATGTTTAAAGGAATAGTTTGGCATTAGGGGAAAATTGCTAGCTTGGCTCTGTCCAAATATAAAAAATCCTCTTACACTTTTTGTTTTTTAAAACCAACTTCACAAATAAAACATCTTAATTAGTGATTTTATTGTTACCTTTGAACAGAGTCAGGCTAGCGGTTTCCATCTTGATCAAGCTAGCCTCCTGGCTGTAGCTTCATATGGAGCGCACAGATGTAAAAGTAATGTTGATCTTTTCATCAAATTTTGTGTAATAATTACATCATTAGAGCATTCCCCAAATGTCAAACTATTCCTATATCGCCAGAAAATACAAACAGTGGAGTTCTTTCCAGAATTATGCCCTTTTCAGGGTAGAAAAACATCTCCTGAAATATCATCTAAATTGTTAAACCACACCAAAAATCTTCATTAAATCCTGACAACAGTAAAATATTTATGCATTCTTATAGGGATATAAAACCAGTTCAGCTTAAGGGCCTCCTGTAGACCAGTTCTCTCTGTCTAACCCGAACTCTGACTTAAGACCAATCCTGAAAAAGTTGTGTTATTGAAAACTTTTGAGAGGAGCTCCAAAATGTTTCCAAGTTTGTTTTTTTTAGTTGTTTTTCCCCCCAAACCTCGCTCAATGACAGAACTTTTTCTCTACGTGGCTCTGGGTGGCGAGGAGGGTGCAATATGCCGAGGCAGGACTGTGCGACTGCACTTAAAGTATACTAGCCAAAGACCCTGTTGATTTATAGTGATTCTGTGATGTATGATTTATATTATATTATTATGTCGGTTCTGAATGTTATGTTGTTTTTCAGGAGGGACATCTATGTGTACAGTTTGTGTTCTGTGTTATAAATGACAGATTCAAGCCAGCTGAGGTTTGATGTGAAACATTTTGGGAGAAAAAGCTTCTAGTATTGTTTGTTCACGCAAACTTGTTCATGTGCCTTGTCGGATAGCAATACAACAGATCTGTGTGGAACTGTAAGAGAAATACCTCCTTAGAGTCCGGTCTCCCAGCAGCACCTAAAGGTCTCCTCCCTCTGTGTGTATAAGCTTTATTCAAACCAAATCCCAAGTTTATCTATTGATTTACAGATGCACTCCTGTTATCAGTCCTGACTTACTGTATGCACCACACCAATGTATAATTATGCCAACACACTAAAAGATAAGATACTAAAGATTTGAACAATAAATTTGAAAAGTAAATGCAAACTGATGAACGTCTGTTGGTTTATTTCTAGTTTACTTGTGTGTGTGTGTGTGTGTGTGTGTGTGTGTGTGTTTTTCAGTGTCTGATGAAACATTCTGTGTTTCAGTGTTAAAAACTAATAACCTTTTAACTGGACGGTGCGTGCTGTCCTCTGTGCAGTTTGTGTAGATAAGATAAGATATTCCTTTAATAGTCCCACAATGGGGAAATTCCAAACCATATCAAGAAATCCACGAAAGACATTGGAAACGTTTTGCATTCAGAGCAGATTAGATTCAACACTGTAACATTATATATGATAGAAACTAAAGAAATTAAAGATTAGTATTCCACGGTCCAACATCCGTGTTATTAGGTGATCCCTGTTCATATTTTCAGATATATTTCTGTGGCTATTTTCAGAAACAAAGAGTTAGCCACAAGCACACAACAGTAAAACATAATACTGTGACGTGCTAATGAAGTCAGCCCTTGGTGCTTGATATGAATTAAAAGAGGATAAACCCCAGCCTACATTAAAGTCAAAGGGTCATCCAGTTCCTTTCAGGAAGTCAAAAGTAGGGATGATGAAATGTAGCATTCCTTCTGGTGAATGTTTCTTAACTTCAACAGGATTTGAGTCCAGTGACATTTCTTAATAACAGTCCCTTTTATAAAGAGGCTCTGGCTTAGTGGCCTCCTGACCTCTAAGGGCCCCTGGGTCTGTGGTAGTCCTGTTTTAATCTATCAACAGTGGTGGAATGTAGTTCATTCACTAAAGTACAGTTTTGGGGTATTTGTGCTACATTTTATTCGATTGTTCTTCTACTCTATATTTTACAGATAAATGTACTTTTTATATAATATAATTCACTGTTGTAAATTAAACAACATAATAAAACACTAAAGTGAGCCCATTTTATGTACTTTTGATACATTAAACTAACTAACTATTGTACTTTAACTAGAGGTGCAGGAAAATGATTCTGGAGAAAGACAGTTGATTGTTAAATTCATTCTCAGGTGGTCACATACAGACACTTTGGGTCCGACGGACTATGATTGACTAAAGTCTGAAACCAGAGAGGAGGTGTAGAAGTCCAGTTTTTTCTCCGACTACTTGAATTACAATGTACTGAAAGCTTATGATGGATTTTTTTACCCAGTGATACCAAAAACAAACTGCCTACTGCAGCTTTAAAGTGGCTATAATCAATATTTTTCTAACAATCTATGGAAGTGAGAATGTGAAAGAGGTCGCTCAGAGAGAGGATCCACCAGGGAGTTCTCACCTCATCTGCATCTGAATCAGCTCCACTGAGCTTTATAGAGAGTTTCAGCTCACTGTCTATCTGTCCAGCTGCTTTAATGTTCAGTCAAATACACAGCGTTCAGCACAAACCCTCAGTGTCACAGTCAGTAGCAGCCACAAGGTGTCGCCCTCGCTGTGAGTATTCCTGCCAGTGGTTTTTGTTTTCAGCTGTCCTTTCCACTGGGGACCATGTGAACCCTCCTCTCATGTACTTCTAGGAATTAGACGTTAGGTATGAAGTTGGGAGTGAACAGTGAGTCAACTCACATGCTGATGGCAGGATTTATAGCCTATATATCCTGAAGGTGTGGCAGCAGTGCTTATAGACTTTTGTTCCACACAGAAAACAAGGATTAGGACTTCACTCGGTCGCAGTTCATGCACTACATTGTCAAATCAGAGCAAAGACCCCACTGAGGCTTTCAGACTTCTCCTGACTCACTTTCTATTGTTTGAAAGTGCTTCAAAGCAGAATGAGGACATTTAGTTCCCATAACTGTCTCTGTGTAGCATCACATTCAAATGCAGTGTTCCAATAGACCACATTGTTTTTTCTTTCAGTGTCTTGTTTTCCATAATTATCAGCTGTTCTGTGTCCAAACATTCTCCAACTATTTTTTAGTATTGAGAAACAACACACATGTAATATTGGCGCGCTCTGATTGGCTGCGGCTGGTCTCTAGCTCAGCCACGGGCCAATGGGGAGGCGCTGGTGTTTGTGCACCGCTCCTGCGCTGCTATAAAGCGGCTGCAATGAGGATGAGAGGAGAAATATAGTGATTCAAAGACACCAAAGAGACGCCCTACACGCTCTTTTGCCCTGTGTGTTGGCCGCCGAGGGACATTTGGACGCGCAGAGACACATCTGACTGAGGAGGCTCCGTTTGTCCCTGAATCCACAGGCTCGGGTAGGCTGTCCGCACCAAAGGATGCTCTGCTCCTCACACACACACACACACACACACACACTGTGCACTTCACTGGAGAAGAGAGGTTGACTCACGGAAGGAATCACCATCTCACAGTGACACTACCTAACACAGGCATCATTCTGCAGTCCTCTCCCTCCCTGAGAGCGTCTCCTCTCCGGGTGTCTCTCTGCTGGACGGCCGCAGGTGAGGCTGCAACAGTCTGCTGCTCCGTGATCAACTTTAGTCTGTGGGTGTTTTTATCCACTGAGTCCTTCTGTCTCCTCTAATCAGTGTGTTACATACTGCGCACACACACACACACACACACACACACACACACACACACGCACGCACACAGCTGATTACACTGGATCAGACTGAGCTGAGGTATTACAGTTTCTTCCACTGTTGTTCACTCGGTGACTTTCCCCTTCCCTTTATTTTGCGCGGGTACAGTGAGGACAGTCGAGCGCGTATTCAGCGTGAAAGTTGGGATTTTATTTCTAAAATAAAAAAAAACAGCTGGATCTGAGGGGAACAGCTGGGGGGCCGCTGAGGGTCTTGTGTCCGGAGGGTTTTAGTTGCCAGTTGGCTGATAGTTAACTGTCTTTGTCTCAGCAGCAGGATGGTAATTCCCCGTAGCTGCTGTTGTTGATACTGAACAGCTGAGCGCCTCTCGCGTCAAGTTGCTGAGAAACACGACGTCTAAAACCGGAAAGGGGTAGAAATTATCTTCAAGATAAAAGCATAAAGACGCGCTCAGAAGTACAGAAAAACACTCGGTTTCTTAAAGGATTCAGGACTATTTTCTTTGTTCTTACTCATGTGTCTAATGCATTAAAGTAATGGCAAACCTCCTGCATCACTTACATCCATATTTTTATTAAAATACAGAAAAATACTTTATAACATTATTTATCATCCTCATTTATAACATAGTCTACTGTTTTGTGCGCTTATTATTTTACTGTGTTACACGCAGTTTTCTGTTAATTTAACCTTTTTCCTTGTTAATGATGATACAATCAAAGTGGGTCTTACAAGGTTAATGTTGGCGCCTTTATCTCACGCAAAATACCTTGCTAAGCAGCAGCCTTCGTTGGTCTTTTATTTTGAAGCTATCAACCGGAACCCCGTGCTTGTTTCTGGCTAACATGACTGTGTGGGGAGGGGGTTGGAGATGCAGATTGGGTGGGGGGGGGGGGGGGTATTGTGCGGATGATTTCAGTCCAGTTCAGACCAGTTCCAGCGCTGCTCTTCATTCACCGCAATATACTTTGTGTTATTGTCCTCAGTGCGATCATCTGCTCATTACCTGCTCAAACACACACAGGATCCCAGGATGCACTGTGCGGGATGGGACTGTCATATTGAGGATGGTCTCCAGTGCTGGGGCCGATGACTGACACCAAGTTATTCAGACAAAAACAGTGTGTCATACAGATTAGTTTAGGGCCAGCTTTAGTTATAATATAATATATAATAATAATAACACAAGTTATATTTACACTTATTACCTGTGCATCACAAACGATTCATTTCTATTATTAATTCAGGTCATGTTTTATAGCTTATTTTTTATTTTTGCAGTAAAGAATATGTTTATGAATTCAAATTCGACGGTATATGT